CGAACTGGCGAGATGTTGTTGTTTTTTACGGGCGCGTAGTGGCCCACCTACGAAATCGAAGCTGTCGTCACGGCACTCTCGTGACAACAGGACAAGCGCGCTTTAACGACATCTCGCGCATTGTGCAATTGTCGTCGGTTGAACAGACTGCGCGAACAACTCAGCAGATGGCCTGGAACATTCTATTTTCTCAAGAATGGACTGCGTATGAAGTGTTTTTTTTTTTTTTTTTTTTTTTCAAAAGACACGATCAAGGCGTATGTATTTTCTGATGAAGATCTAGACGGAGTAGGGCAGGGTCAACTGTCAGAAGAAGGGATGGTCCTTATCATGCGGAAAATGTGGACCGACGATGAGAGGTTCATCTGCCGGCACTTCCATGCTGTGAGGGCTGGTGCCGGGTATTGTTTGCAATGCCTCACCCCAGTTACGTACAAATACAACGTGCGGAAGGACTATCAAACGCCACCTGGTAGAGATGCATTGGTTGCTGCATGGACGAGCCTAGGACTGAGTTCACATCTGAATAAACCCCCAAGAGGGGAAAGCGGCTCCAATATAATTTCCAACAGGCTGAGAGCAATTTGCAAAAGCTCTGCCGATGCGCTGGAAAATGTGAACAAAGCTGAACAACACCAGCACAAGTGGGCCGGTAACTGTCGCCAGGCATGTTTGGCAGGCCAAACATTTTCAAATTCGCAGTCGGGGACAGTCCCGCCCTTGAGCCCTGACAGCGCCGTGGCACATCCACTGGCGCGCCATGAGCCATGCTTCCAGTATCTGGAACCTCTCGAGCTCCGATTCATTGAATGGCTGAAGTACAAGCACGGGGAAGACGCCCCGACCGCTGCCCAATGGTGGCCATTGATTTGGGCGCCTGACTTGGACAAATACGCTCGTCCGTTTAGATGTTCTGCCCTTGCTGTTGTCGGCTGGATTCACGTTGGTGCTGAGCAAATTCGCCCAGGAATAGGTAGGGAACAAGGGGAATGAGAACTGGCGGACTCAGGAGTAACAATTCCATCTGTCCGAGTGTGAACGGACAACTTGACCGAAGCCAACAAAGTTTTCACATCGAATAAAGTAGGAGACATAGATGTCCGGGCGATTGCTGTACTCCATCAGCGGCGCAGCCGCACTGATGAAGCGATATAACCCCGTGAAGAGAAAGCTGAACTGTCGAATGGCGCACGCAGTCACAACACTATCCAGCGACATCAGCTAATTGTTCCGATGCGAACGCTGCCCTGTCGGCTTCATTTGATTTCTATTTCTCGTTTATGTCCATTGAAAAGAACAAGGTTGAAGCATATAATCGGCTGGGAAGTATCACAGTCGCGACACAATTCGCCTTAGAATATTTGTCAACATCCCCGACCCCGACGCCGTTGGACACTGACGTTATTCATGATGTGCCGCTTGAACTACCCGAGCTCGTAAACATAATATGGGCCCAACCGTTTGACCGAATCCCCACTCATGGGCGGTGGGGGCGGTTGCTGTTGGCCGTGCGAGAAGTCATATTATTGTTCATGTCTGCGGGACTCACTGCTGCATTTCTGGGATACCAAGTCCAGCGCGACACAAACTATACAGATGTCGCTCTCGAAGCAACGCGTGATGCATATGCCCTAGAGTGCCGAATTTGGGTCTGCAATCGAATCATTCGACCTACTCCACGAATGGACCAAAGGGTTGGGGAATTAAGTACCAGAGACCGTCAGACAAAATTGCGGAAAGATTCGAGATGCTATTGTTCTCGTGCATACGTCTACAGAATCACAATTTGATGCCAGGGTCTGCATAGCAAACAGCCGTTTTGGATTCTCCAGCACAGACAATGCCATTGGTTTCACCAATTGCCTCGAGAAGAAAGAGGAGGAGAGCGGCCCAGCCGACTCTCCCACAGGGACTGTCCCAGCTGAGTCTCCAGCAGATGCCGCAATCATGATAGCTGAAGCTAGCACCCTGAGTGGCGCTGCCGCTTCGGGGCTGAGAGCCCGGCGGCATTCTCGTCCAGCGTCGAGGCCGAGATATCGGAAGGAGAGGCAATCCTATAGCGCCGCCCCTTGTACCCCCGCGCCCGCCGGCCCAGCCGCGTCAGGCAATTGCGCCGGCTGGATCGACCCCGATCGGGTCCGGCGGTGGGCTGATGAGCTCGCGGTAGAACCGGATGGCGGCGCGAGCGATGGCGGCTGGGGCACGACGCTGGACCGCGAGGACAGGAATGAGAATGGAGAAGTACAAGGACATTATGTATATGCAACTCGTCACCAGAAGGTCACTTGTCATACCCAAACTGGGCAATGGTTTAGATTGAACGACTACAATGACAAGTTCAACCGTGATTCGTGGACGCCAAGCACCTTGCCAGCGCCTCCGCCTCCACCTGCGCCGAAGGCGAGGCCGCCCGAGAAAGGCCGGGGCAAGGATCAGCCAGATAGCTGGAGTTCAAGCGGAAGAAGAGACATATATGATAATGATTCAAGAGATCAGTACCAGTGGAACTGGCGCAACAATGATCCTTCGCACGACTCTCGAAAGTGGAGGAATGGTTGGCAGAGATGATACAGTGCATTCAGTACGACTTTGTCGTTGCCGGTCCATAGTCCATCATGAAGCGGGCGCGCCAGGTGCGCATGGGCATTGCGGCTTGAGCTGGCAAGATATTAGCTCAGGCGGGAATTGTTGGGTTTCTTCGGTCCCCCGCCCTTTGGCAACCGCTGTTAAGCGGTAAAATGCTATTGGGGTTCGCTCCGGTGGCTGTACATATGCGCGGGCCAAGTGGGTGGGTGGGTCGGGGCGATTCTACGGATCCCGCCGCGGGGGGAGTCAATGCACCCCTTCCGCGCCGCCAGCTTGCCGCCCGTCCTGCTCTTTAGCCTTGCCTGCACTGTCTGCTGTAGTGTCTGCTTCTCTTCTTGACTTGAATGTTGACCTGCAGCTACAGTTTGGCTCTAGGGAAACGGACAGGGAGCGAGCCTGCGGCGCGCGCGCGCGTCGGCCGGCGGGCCGGCCCCCCCCCTTCAATGTTACCCTATTGCATGCTTGACGGCAGTGTCTTTTCTTACCCATGTCATCGGCGGAGCCCACTGACTATGAGACGCCAGCGGGACATCTTGCAGGGATTACGCATATCCAGGCAAAAGACTGATTGAACTCCCCATCGCTGGGTGAATAGTACAACCAATGTCCCGCCCGCTCGAATGGCGCCCCCGGTCGTTGTGATGTATTTTCCCCAGTTGTGACCCATCACCGAGTGGAGGTCGCATTTGATGTCCTGCCAGTCGTCGTCGCCGTCGTCGACGCAAAGTCAAACGAAGTTCAAATAAAGTTCAACCAACGTTTAAACCAAGCTCATGCGTAGCTCAAACATGGCTCCAACACGGGCAGTTTCCAAGGCCTTCTCCAGGACGAGGGGCTTTGGATAACTCCCCCAGAGCCAAGCGCCACTGGCAAACCACAGTGGCTCCGCGAGGTCACTCACGGGTGCGCATGGAAAGCGGCCTTGTACGTGTAAATTCTGCGGCCCATTGAGGCACATATGGGATACCGGCCGAGACTCCTGCGCGTCCCAAAACGAAGCCGATACAATTCGGACGGCGGGATTTCAACCACACGGACTCCCCACGAAGCCAACGCCGTCGGGTCACACCCCTGGATCCAGGTCACATCTGATTCAGCTGTCCTGAGGTGCGCTGACCTGCCGGTTTTGCAGCCTCGTTCCATCTCGCTCTCGAGAAGCCCCACCCTCCTGGGGCCCCCGAGGGTGGCGTCGGTCCCCAAGTTCCGAGCTGTGTCAACCCTGCTCGAAGGCGGGGGAGTCTGAGTTACCCGCGGGGGCGCTCGTTTCTGAGCTCACACGTGACGCAAAATCATGGAAGGTCTGTCCCACCAAGGCGGGGAGCTGGCCAACGACGGGCTCCTGCGAACCGAGGCTCTGCAAGGCGCTGTGATCGAGGCGCCTCCAGAAAATTGGCGCCGGATTTGCGTGTGGTGTCCCACCTTTTTCGTGTGCACGATTTGTTGCATAGACGTGCTCGTTCCAAACCGCTATGGCAAGGAGGAGGACAACAATTGAAAGGAGGAGGAGGAGGTAAGGCTAGTAATAATCAGGGGAAGAAAGCGAAGGAGGAGAAGGGGAAACAGAAACATGTGAAGGAGAATAACCATAAGAGGTGGAGTAGTGAGACATCAACAGGCGGCTGGAGCTTGGGCCCACGCTCCTGCTATCTTGTGCACTCTGGCCGCCTGGCCGCCTTCGTATGTGGAGGCCACGCCCGGGATTCGGAGTCGCGTGCGATTGGGCCAGTGGGCGAGCTCAGGCGACATCTGCGCGGGGAGGAGCACATCAAATACGTTCGGAAAGCGTGCGCGTTGTGGTTGGCAGAGGGGGGTGTCAAAGGAGGATAAGGTACCGAAACCGATGCCATTGCGCCTCGTTTTCGCCTTTGGGGCCTCCTTGGAGGTCCTCGTCGCCACGGCCGGATTCGCCCCGAAATTTTGGTCAGAACGCACCCCAGGAGAGTTTTGGGGACTAGCGGTATCGATACCTTTTTGTCCCACATGGCGGGTGGGGGGAACAGCGATGACCAGAAAGAAGATGGTCAGGGAGGAGGAAGAAGAAGAAGAAGAAGAAAATCATCAGAAGCGGGAGTAGGAGTGTGAGGGAGAGAGGGGGACCAAATGAGGAGGATGATAAGGAAGAGGTGGAGGTGTGTGTGTGTGGAAGGGAGAAATGAGGCACAGGGATGGGGGGAGGAATTCCCCAGGATGATTCGACAGAGAAGGAGGAAAAGGAGGAAGAGGAGGAGGAGGAGGAGGAGGAGGCGGAGTAAGAGGTGGGGATGTGAGCACGGGAAAGAGGAGGAGGAGGAGGAGGAGGAGGGAAGAGGAGGGAAGAGGAGAAGGGAAGAGGAGGGAAGAGGTGGAGGAGGAGGAGGAGGAGGAGTTTGGCTCGTGCTCGATCTGCGAGAGACTCGCCCCCTCCCGGCGCGAAGGCCGAGAAGAGGCTGCGCAGCGAAGCGGAGGACCGCACTGAGCAGGCGCGGGAGGAGGACCGAGGATCGCGGAGGGGCACCGAGGATGAAGGATAAGAAGGACAATCATCGAGGATCCAGGGGATGAAGGAGATGGAGGAGGAGGAGGAGGAGGAGGAGGAGGAGGAGGAGGAGGCGCCAGAGGAGGAGGAGGGGATGAGGAGGATCCAGGATCGGGGATCGGGGATGAGGATCTTCCTCCTCCTCCTCCTCCTCCTCCTGAGACAGCAGAAAAAGTCATGTCGACACACACACACACACACTCTCCCTGAGCTTCGGCGAGACCGCGTCCAAAAGGTAGCCCACCACCACGACCTGGCAGTGCACCTTCAGCACCCGGAAGCCGACCACGACCATGTCCGGCAGCCGACCTTGTCCTCCTCCTCCTTCTCCTCCTTCTCCTCCTCCTCCTCCTCCTCCTTCTGCAATCTCTCCGCCGATGGGGGCGGGGGCCGCGCTCCAGGGCAGGGGGGGGGAGCCGACCGCGCCTCGGCCCGGCCCTCCCGCTCTCGCTCTCCCGTGCAGTTGTTCCCCGCGTGCCTCATCGAATCGGTGCGCCTGCGGTTGCAGCAGCTCCTGAGAGTAGGGGGCCACATGCGAACCCTACCCCTACCCCCCACGATTTCTGGGGGGCAGGGTGGGGTTCACTGCGTTCGGGAACTCCCGAGCGAAGTGAACCCCACCCTCCCCCTCAGAAATCATGGGGGGCAGGGCTAGGGGTAGGGTTCGCATGTGGCCCCCTATGAGAGGAGGAACGGGCCGAACGAAACTTCGTTCCACGCGGTGGCGGAACTCGTGCGAGCACGGTGTGAACTTGTTCAGCCACGGCGCAGCCCGGAGCGCGCTGGCGCAGCCCGTGGCTCCAGTGGCGACTTCGGCAGCGTCAGGCTCCACACCGAAGCGTCCGCCAACGCCTCTGGCCTGGCCGACGTCCCTTTCGAGGCCCCCGCTGCCGCGGAGCTCCTGGGCGCCGCTGCGGCGGATGCCCGCGGAGCTGGAGGCTCGGGCCGGACGAAAAGGAGGGGATTGGGAAAGGAGGATTACGAAATCTGCGGCGTGCAGCTGGTTTCGGCCCCGCCGAGGGGCCCATTCCTCGATACATGGCCGCCTCCGGCGCCAGGAGGCGCCCGGAAAATCAGCTACGTGAGTTGTTTCTCAAACCGCCCTTTTGGTATCCCCCGCTTTCTCCTGGCCCGATCTTGCAGCTGCTCCACGCTTGTCTCATCGAATCGGTGCGCCTGTAATTGCAGCAGCTTCTGAGAGGACCCAGAGATCCAACGCATTGAAAAAATCACGACGGAGTTTTTTCGCGATTTTCGGTCTCTAGGTTCCCTTACCAGGCCTCGGGACCGTCAGAAAACGACTCAGGATGAAAATCCGGTGCTGGGGAATGGGTCGAGACTTCCGGGGACTCCGTATTGAAAAAATCGCGACATCGGATCTCTGGGGAGGAACAGGTACGGTAGGTTCGTGTCGTGTCGACCGGCGGCGACCCCGCAACCGACGTTCCGGTCCAGAGTCGGTCGACGTTGAACGATCGGACGGTGCGCAAGCGGCCGATCGTGCAAGGTTGAACGATCCCCGCGGTGTCAGGAACCAACGCCCGGGTCGACGCGACACGAACCTGCCGTATGCGTCGGCCGTTGCAAGTATATGTTTCTGGGGCTCGCAGATCCCAGTCTGCTTTAGGCGCCTTCCTACTTCGAGGGTCGAGCGGGGTTCTCCCTCTTCCCTCCTCTTCAGGGGGCCCGCGGAAGCCCAATCCATTTCAACGCCTTCCTACTTCATGGTTCTACCTGCTTCTTCCGACCGATGGGTGCCGATTCCGCTGCCCTTCCCATCTCACCACAGCTGGATGCTCCTCGAAGCTCTGGCCAGATCGCACCCCAGGAGAGGTCCGTGGAGCAGCGGTGTGAGTACCTCCCTGCTTCCCCAGTGTGGCGCGAGACCGGTGCCTTTCGAGAGGGCCAGCGCTGCGCCTGACCAGCAGGACTGTTCCCCCGACTTTTGCTCCACCTGCTTCGAGATAGCCTCGGTGCCCCGACTGGGAGGGGGGGTCGGCTGGGCCCAGGATCGGGGTAGACCGCCCCAGGGCGCCACGCAGGTTCTCTCGGAGCGTTCTGGAGCTCTCTGGAACGGCCGCGACGCGCCCGCTACATCTTCAGGATTGCCAGATCCCAGAGATGGCCGATGTGTCCCGGTCCGACTTGGTCCTGGCCTTGGCCTCGTTCGGGGGCCCCCGAACGGGGTGGTGACCACGCCGTGCGGTGAGTCGGTGGGGATTCGGGGTCACCGCACGGTTTCGGGATTCGGGTCGTTCTCCGAGGACGTCTCGGGCGATTGGGGCCTCTGAGGTCCCAAGACCCTGCGGTGACGGACCGTGCGGTGAGGTCTAGGGGGGTTTCGAGGTCACCGCACGGTCTGTCACCGCACCGGTTCGGGACTCCAAAGTCGTCCTAGAGGAGGGCGGCCGCTACCGAAACGTGGCGCCAGGGTTTTTTCCTGGGTGTCAGCCTCCAAGGGCGCGCCTCGTCGGGGCCCAGTGGCCCGCTGGGTCCGGGGCGGGAAGCCGGCGAGCCCGTGAGCACGAGGGCGCCCTGGGAGGGCCGGGCAAACCTAAAAAAGTCTGAGCCCAGTCGCCTCCGGCGTGCTAAACACGTTCTGTCCGATCTTCGCGCCGATAGTGGCACTGGTCCAGATTTGATCCCTGCTCGCGTTTTAAAGATATGCGCAGAAGAGCTTGCTTTGCCTCTTATTATGTTATCCAGGCTTATCTTGAGAACAGGTGTCTGGCCTAGCATGTGGAAGTCGCATTGGAGTCCTCGGGTACACGCTGACATGGATTACGGAGCCGTGGATCTGGCGCTTGGGCGGCACCTCCACGGATTGGGGAAGGCAAACACAAGGTCATCGCAGCAGCGAAAACAAACGAGTGGCCAGTCGCAGCAAGGAAGAATGGCGCGGCCATCGCAGCATTGAGAAGATCACAGCCATTCGTCATTGTATGGTGTGGATGACGGCTGGTATGATCTTGAGGAATATAAGGATGATCGTGACTACGGCGATCACATGTCCGCATATGGCGGGGAGGGTAAACCGCTCTAGTGCCAAGCGAAAGCTTCGAATGCGACATTTTATTCGGCGCCCCCCTGGATAAGTTTGCAAACGCCCTGGCGTTTCTGATCAAAAGAGGCGGGTGCGTCGCGACGGCCACCTCACCACCACGGCCATCATCGCCATCGTCACCCCGTCGGGGCCATCTCGACACCTCATCGCTCACGATCAATGTATATGCTTAAGTCGGGCGTGTCCCTCCACAGGAGGAATATTCAATCGGACCCATTCCGCTCCTGGGGCCCTCCGCCACCGCGAGGCGAGCTGTCGCAGTGGGGGCGGATCAGCCCCTGCACCTACCACGAGGCCAGTTCCGCGCTGCGCCGATGGCAGCCAGAAGAGCCCGTCTGCGCACTTCACCCGGACGCCGCGGTCCGCACCGCGGTGGTGGACCTGCACCCCAGCAGCGTGTCGAGAGTTCTTGCCCGCGCGCAGGGCGCGCGGAGGAGCCCCGCAGCTGGTGGGCCGTGCGACGCGTTCCCTTGGACAGCCCGCGTGGCGATGGGGTGTCAATGTAAGCGCCGCGGCGGCCGCTCGGGGCTGCTCCGTCGTCATGCTGTACCACGACGCCACCCCGTCTCGGCCTCGGCGGCCACAGGTGCGGGGACTTGGGACATCACGCCCTGCCTCAGCCGAGAGGGCCCCAGCATGGCGGTCGTCCTGGCCTGGTGCAACGGAGCGGTTCCGCCCGTCGAGTGCGCGCCCTGCGGCGCCCGAGAGCGCTTGCGCTGCGACGGGTCTTGCGTTGACGGCGACGTTCCCGCGCGCGGCCCCACCGATGAATGGGGCGTCTCGGGACGGGGCTGTGTAGCGTGCGCAGCCGACGAATGGAACGGGCAGTGGGGCGCCGTCTGTCGACCTTGCCCTGAGCAGGGACCAGCGCGCGCACGCGCAGGGCGACGCCAGCTCGTGGACAGCGACGATTCGGACGAGCGCCCCGACGCGCGAGACCCCACGAGCGATGACCGCAGCGACAGTGCGGGGACGCGCCGGCCGGCGCCGCCGGCGCACGCGCATCACTCGGAGCGGGCGGCGCCAGGGCCCCCTCCTTCCCGCCCGGCGTTGCCTCCGATTCGAGCGGCGCCGCGATGACACCCGTGTCTCATGAAGGGCGTGCCCAAGCCCGCCGCGGCGATGCGGAATCGAAATCCGCCAAAGCCGCGCCGCATCCAGCCCGCCGCAGAGACTACTGCCCGCTCGGCGGCTCCGTGGAGCAGCCCCTGGGCGCCCCCGTCGCGCATCTGCCCTGCGGCGCCGAGCGCGGCTGCAGCCGTATTATAGTATTGCGCGGCGCCGCAGCGCTACGGCGCCGGGGCGCGCAGTCTCGCGGGTGCGCTCAGAGACGCGCGGTTCCTTTTGCCCGCCGGGGAGGGCGGCGGCTTGTCCCCGGCGTTCTCCGCGCACCTGGCCCTGCAGCCCGCGCGTCTGTCGATCTGGCAGCTGTCGACCTCTGAGTCTTTCCACGGCCGGCCTCCGTTCGACGGGCCGCCGCTGTCGAGGCGCGACTTTTCTGGGCGCGGTCGCGTCCAGCTGCCGCACTCGGCCCTGGAGTTCCCCCAGCGCCTCGCGGGAGACAGCCTCCGGCATCCGATCAGGGCGGTCTTCGCAACGAACAACTTCCTTCAGCGAGAAATCTCGCGATCGAGGTTGCATGGGAGGACGGAAGACTGGGCGCCGGGCCCGCCGCAGAAGCCAGCCGCGCGGCGACGGACTCCGTCCACGCATCGCTCTCGACGTGCGACTTGGCCCCGCGCGCGACCGCGCCGCGCCCGGCGATCGCGAGGCTCGCGCTGCCGGCCCCGCGGGCGCCCCGGGGGAGTTTCGCGTCGGTCGTTCGCACCGGAGAAGACACCGAGCTGAGCGGTCGGAGCGATGCGCTGTGGGGCCTGCGCGGGGCGGGAGATGCCGCGGCGCTTCTGAGCAACGGGCGCCCCCTGGAACTGGTCCCGGCGTGGCCTCGCAGTCTCGCTCTGCCGCGGGATCTCGTCACCGACGTGATGTTGGAGGTTCTCGGCTTCGAGACCGAACCCAGCGCGGCCGCTCTCGATGTCGCGGCCGCCGCGCAGAGCTGGGGCATAGCGGCGGACGGCGAAATCACCGCCGTCGTTTAGCTGCGACCGCGCCTGAGGATCCTCGCCCAGAGAGCGGAGATGCACGGCGGAGCGCTTTGCAATTTGGTGGCGCTGCCCGAGTTCTGGCGAAGAGGCCAGCGGAGCACCCCGGCCCTCGCGACAATCACGTTATCGCCCGGGTCGCCCCCCGAAGTGTCGCTTGACCATTTGCGATCGAGCTTGCGAGGACTCGAAAACATCGACGCTTTGGACTGCGACATCTTACCCGGAATCGGGGATTGGCGACGCGTGGCGCCTGTTTTTTTCGCCGCGGGGCGCCTCCCGCCGCCCCCGACGAGCCCTCGCGCGCGCCTGTCGATGTCTACCGTGGCGATATCTCCGCGCCTGTTGCCTGTGCGCTCTCATCGAGGGGTCCACTTCTCCGCCGCTGGTGCCCGAGATTTCCATCGACCGCCTCAATGCGGCGGCTCGCGGACCCGGGGGGGCTCTTCCTTGTGGCGGACGCGGGCCAACCCTGGGCGCAGACCCGACACGCCGTGGACCTGCCCGACATGGGCGCGGGAATGCTGGGCCCCGCTGGACGGCGCGCTCCTGGCGTTCGCCGTGGACCCTGCGGAAGGCTACCCCGCTCTCTGGGCGCAGTTCGCGACGGTCGAGGGAAAGTTCGCGCGGGTTCTGATGGGCGCCGTCCAGGGCGACGACGCCCTCCCGGCGCCGCCCGCCCTGATGACAGACAGCGGCCCGATGTGCGCGATGCCGGGCGCATGCCTCCACGCCGCCGGGCGCGGCGTCGCGCATGTCGAAGCGGCGCCCTTCGCCGATGTCGACGGCTGGCCGGCGCTGCCCGAGGCGTTCGTGGAACGTTCCGTGGCCCTGCCCATCGAGGCCGCGGCGGTGGGCTCTCTCTCGCCGCCGCAGCTGGTTCTGACCGGCCGCGTGATTGCCGGCGGGCGGCGGCGAACACTGCAGCCGCACATTCAGCTGCGCGCGCGTCGATCGGGGGGGGGGGGGCAGATCAGCATCGACGCGGGCGCCGCGCCCGAAGAGCGAGGCGAAAGTATGGCAGCCTGCGCCGCATGCTGGCGATGGCCGTCGAACCGAACCCGCCGGGGGCCGCAAGCCAGATCCGGTCACATGGCTGTCTACGGAGTCGCAGCTGGAAGCCCCCCGGCAAGCTCGAGCGAGCTCGAGCCTCGAGCCGCGCTGCCCGCCCCGGGAGCTCCCGCGCACGCTTCCCCAGCGGGGCCCTGTCAGCGCTGCGGACAGGCCCCGGGGGCCTGCCTCGAGACGTGCACGGGGCGCCGGCGGGAACGTACCAGAGAGCCGGCGACGCGCGCGCGATCGGCGCGCGCCGCGCCCCTGAAGGCCCGGCGAACGGGGCGCCGCCGCAGGGCCGTCCGAACTGAGGGCCGCGCTGGCCGCAGCTCCGCGCGGCCCCGGAAGCGTAGGGAGCCAAAACGCGATGATCGAGATGCCATTGTCCTGGCGGGCACATTGTTTCTACGTGTTATTCTTGCTCTCCCCTTCAACGCCTGGCCCACGCTGCCGGCGCTGCCGAAGGCAGACCGCCGGCCGCCGGGGGCTCCTCGTGAGACGCCCGCGCCGCGCGGCATACCTCCTGGCGGCGACGCGCGGCGGCGGCTCCTCGGGCGCGCGGGGCCGCTGCAGCCTCCAGGCGACGACGCGCGTCGGCGGCTCCTCGGGCGCGCGAAACCGCCCCCTCTTGGGGGCGACGGGGCGCGGCGGCGGTTCCTCGGGCGCGCGAGACCGCCCCCTCCTGGGGGCGACGCGGCGCGGCAGCGGCTCGTCGGGCGCCCGCCGGCTCCTGGCGACGACGCGGCGCGGCGGCTGTTTCACGGGCGCGCGGGGCCGCCGACCCCCGGCGACGACGCGGCGCGGCGGCTGTTTCTCGGGCGCGCGGGGCCGCCAGCCCCTGGCGACGACGCGGCGCGGCGGCTGTTTCTCGGGCGCGCGGGACAGCCAACTCCTGGCGACGACGCGGCGCGCCGGCGTCGAAGGCCTTTCCGTCGCCCGAGCGGAAGGCGGCGCCCCCGTCATGCGCTGCGTCCGCGGGGGTGCGTTGCCAGCATCGACGCTGGTGTCGCTGTCGTTGTCGTCTTCGTCTCCGTGGCCGTTGTCATATTCGTCGCGGTCGGTATCGCCGTCGTTGTCGCGTTGTCGTTTTCGTTCGTCGTCGTCGTCGTGGGTGCGAGGGGGAAACTGGTTGCAGCTCGTCTGAGAAGTCAGGCGGACTGCAACCAGGGCGTCGAGGCCCTTCCGGTTCGTTTTGATGGCTCGGAGAAGAGGAGCGCACGGCGAACCCCAACCCTTGACCCTGCGGACGAGGGTTGGGAGATGCATTGGTTTGACGGGGGAGAGCATCCTGACGACTGACAGCCTCAGACAAGAAACATTGCAGACTGTTGTGAGCGGAATTTACGCCCCGGTGGCAGTGAAGGGGCGCGCCTTGTCATCGTGACAGGTCGGACAGCGTCACAAACCATGCGGTTGGACGCGCCTAGGCTTTCCGCGCACGTGATTCCGAACCGTTACTGTGTCCAGGCGGCCGTGACATCTGCAGCATACTCTATTGGTGCGAAACTCATCCACCAGGAAGACCTCGGCTCCGTGGACCCTTGCAAGTCGGCGCCGAAGGCGCTCTTGCGGAGCGGGGGCGTAACCAAGACCTGTCGAGCAGGCGTTAGCCGCACCGACAGCCACAAGACAGAGCGCCGTTTTGGCAAGAGGTATACTTCCGACAAGTTTTTTCCACGGAGTCGTCCACCAGCGATGTGCTTGCAAGTTTCGCCCAGCGCTCGATCCCGTTGCATGAAGCTTGCGGACCGGGCTCTCATCGGAGACCTCGCCTGGTAAGTAGTGATTAGTTTCCAGTATTGGATGGGTCGATGCGGTGAAAGCGACTTCGGGGTCTGCCCGGCTCGGTTCTGGCCCCCAGCGCGTTCGGCGACCTGGAAAATCACGCCCGCCACGCGCTCTCTGGCACTAAGCTTCTTGGCAGAGCCGAACGGCGCGGGCGAAAGCGCGGGGGGCGGCGGGGGCGCGGGCGGGGGCGAGAGTGCGCGCGCAGATGCGTCCGCCGAGTATTTCGGCTTATGCCCCCGGGAAACTGAAAATAACACGAGCGCCAGCGCGGGAAGGATGCAAGAAATAATGATGCGCGCGAAACGCATGTCTTTCCCCGATGCGTCATTCTGCGCGCTTTCATCGCAAGAGAGACGCATGCGCCATTTGTGCGCAGGTAGTTCTAGAGAAGCTCCGGCACGTCTGAGAGGTGCTCCTCAAAGGCGCGTTTCCGCCCGTGCGGGGATGTGTTTTCAGAGTGCCGCGCTTTGGGCCACAAGGCGAAATATTGATGAAGCGTTGATGAGCCGATGGAAGTACAACACGTGCTGCGCGGGGGTTTGGCGGGTACACGGCCCACTCCGATAAAACGATAGCCAAATGCTGCAATGGCATGGAAGCTTGCATCGTCGGTCAGGACGCCGCAGCGCGCGCCCGAAGGCCCAAGCTTGCGCCGCAGCAAGGAGCGGCGCCGCCAGCGAATCCTCCGCTGACAGCGCTCGAGGTTGTCGACTCTTGCGCGATAGCTGTGCCCTGATCCGATCCGTTGGCCAACTGCGTCGCTCGGCTTGGCTCGACGCCACCGAGCCCGCGAGCGATGCGACGCGGGGCTTGTACTCGGCCATCATCGCGAAAATGTGGGAGCAGAGCTCGATCACTCAACGCGTCTCTGAGGCCTGTCCTGGACGTCGCCATCGCGACGCGTGCCGTGGAGGAGGATGCGAACAGCTGAAGCGAGCGATGCTGCTCAATGACCCGTCCGAAATGTCTTCGTCCGCGCGCATCGCGAACGCGCGCCCGACCGCCTTTTGGACGGAGGGAAAGAGCGCAGGCTTGACAGAACGCCGCGTCATGTTTGGGGCGACGAGTCGGGAACATGTGGCGTGCCCGGGCAATGATTGGCAGAGATCTGCGAGGAATATGGAAAACGATGAGATCTGCTTCTGCCACAGGCCGCAATTGGCAACGGAGCAGCGCTCGCGCCCCGTTTGCACGGGCCGGCCTCTGCGACGGTTGCGGCTTCATTCGGATGTGCGCTGCGAGCGACGCCGCGGGCGCGCTCGCTTGGCTCTGGCCCCCGGGTCGCGTGGCAAGTGGCTTGCGAGCTCGAGGGGCGGTGCGCGGAGCCTGATACGACGCGGGCGCGCTTCTATTTTGCCGCGCCGGAGCCGCTCGGCCCGCTCGCCCAGCATTTCGGGCCGCGGCTGGGCGCGCGGGCGACGCAGGTCAGCGTCAGCGACGGCGGCGGCGGCGAAGCGTGCTTTGAGACCCGCCAGCCGTGTAACTCTGCCGTTTTCATGTCATTCTGCGCGGAGCGCTTTAGTTGGCATCTGGAGGCGAGCCGCGCGCGCGGCGCAGCCGCATTCCACGAAGGCGAGCCGCGGCTGTGGCGCTCCTTGGAAGGTTGGCCCACGGTGGCGGGGACGAGTTCGCGGCGGTGCGTCTTTTTCGACGACTGCGGCCAACGCAAACCAGTCAGGTCTCACGGCATGGGACCTGCGCTGCGCGAACGGCTCTTCGCTCCGCGCCGAGCTAGCCGCCGTCGACGCCTCACTGCGGCCCCCCGCGGAACACGGGGCATGGCTTCTGTGGCTCGCCACAGGCTGGCCCAACGACGACGCGCCTGTGGGGGCGCCTCGCAGGCAGGTGGACTCGCGCGGAAGCGCCGCCTGCCGCCTTCGCGCCCGCGCGCCGCGCGCGGGGCCGCGGAGCGCCGCGTTCCTGAGCGGGCGCTGGAATGCGTCTACGCGGCGAGCCTGCGCCGCGCCCATTCCAGGAGACAGCTGCTGCAACGCGCTGACTCCGGCAGAGTGGCGCGCGCGCAGACGGCGAAGCCCCGCTCGTGGTCCTGCCGGGGCGCGTGGACTTCGAGGCGGCCGAGCTCGCGGACGCGGCGCCGGAGGATTTTGTAGCAGCTTTTCGATGGGGGCGGCGCAGCGGGCGTGTTCCCGTTCAAAGACTGCCTGCCGGCCGCGGCGCTGGCACCGCCGGTTTCCTCATGCGGCGGGTTTTTCGCGGGCGCGGTGGGCAGCGACAAGGCCGTGCCCGATCAATTTCGCTCTTGGGCGGCCACGCGGCAGCGGCGCGCCCAGCCGGGGGGGCGGGGCCAGGGCAGCCCGTGCGCCTGCGACGCGGCCGGCGCCGCGCTGCGCAGACGGCCGCCAGAGGAGCCCACCTGCTCGCCCCACGCAGATCCCGCAGTCCTGCTCGAGGTCCACAACCTACCCCCTGGCAACGTGTCCAAAATCTTCGCCCGCGCGTCGGACGCGCGCGTCGCTCCCGCAGCCGGCGGGCCCTGCGACGAGTTCCCCTGCATGGGCGGTCCAGTCTGCGTGGCGCGGAAGCGTCAACGTGAGTGCTGCGGCTGCTGGCCGAGGCTGTTCTGTCCTCCCGTTGCACCACAACTCCTCGGCGGCCTCGGTCGCCACGGGCGCCAGGGCGCGGGACATTGCGCCCTGCCTCTGTCGCGCGGACCGGGGCGCGGTGCTCATCCGAGCCCGCTGCAACGGAGCGGCTCCGCCCGTCGAGCGCGCCCCCTGCGGCGCCTGCCGGCGTCTGCAGTGCGACGGCTCCTGCGTCGAAAGCGACGCCCTCCGCTCTCCCTTGCAGCCCCGGCGGCGAATGGGGCGTCCCAACCGGAACTTGCACGGCGCGCGCTGCCGACGAATGGAACGGGCAGTGGGACGGCGTCAGCTCGCAGGCAGCGACGACTCGGACGCGGAGCCAGACAGGCAAACGGGCACCGACGACGACGACGGTGACTCCCCCGGAACGAGCTTGCCCGCGGCGCCGCCGGCGCCCGCGCATCACTCGGAGCCAGCGGCGCTTCGGGGCGTCGGCTCTACGGCGCCAGGGCTCCACGGCGGCCCCCCCGGTGGCTCATGGAGCAGTCAGTCGACGCCGCGGTCGCGCATCTGCGGTGCAGCGTCGGGCGGCAGCAGCCATGCTGCGCAGCTCCGCAGAGGCGCAGCGCCGGGCCAACCGACATTTCGCGCGCGCTCACTGGCGCGCAGTTCCCCTTGCCCGCTGAAGCAGGAGAGGGGCCAATCCCGGCCCATCTAATGCGATCGAGCGCTGTTTTCGGCGTCCGCGTCGATCGGCGGCCGGCGCCCCTTTCGACTGACCCCTTGTGCTCCGTCGCGACTTTGCGGCGTCGGGCCGCGCCCAGATGATGCACTCGGTCCCAGAATCGCCCCGGCTCCTCGAAGGCGGTCGCCAGTGCCTGATCGGCGCCATCTTCCTCACGGGCAAGACGCTTGCGCAAGAGGTCTCTACAATCGAGGCGCTGTGGGGCGACGCGAGGCTGGACACCAGGCCCGCGGCG